TTGCCACGTCATGGAGCGATCAGCTGAGCCGCTGCAGAGCCTCAGCGCCAACGCGCGGCGCCGCAACGCGTCCGGCGGCGGCGGCGGCGCTGCGCTCAAGAAGAAGAAGAAGCGGCGGAGGAGGCGACGCCGCACGCCCAAGGAAGAAGAGGGCCGCGTCGCGCTCGTGTCCCCGACGGCGGGCTGCGGCGAACCTTTCACGCCCGCCCGCGGCCCGCCCACGCCCGTGCTGCGGCCCGTGGGCGCCCAGGTGCCCCGCGCGCCCGAGAACAGCACCCAGTTCATCATGGACGACCACGAGAATTCGGCGCTGTTCCTGAACTTCGACAAGAGCACCCCCGGGTGGGAGCACGACCCACCCGCCAGCGGTGGCGAGGACGACCTGGGCAGCGCCACGCCCACGCACGCCCACGCGCGAGACTGGTACCCGTTCAACCTGGCGGACTTCGAGAGCGCGTACCGCAGCGCGCGCGAGGACCGCCTGATGGGCGGCAGCCGCACCGACCTGTGCGCGGCCATCGTGGCCCTGGAGGCGCGCGCCGCCGTGCTGACGGAGGCGCTGTCGGCGTCGCCCTCGCGCCTTGTGGCAACACTGCAGGCGCAGCTGCTGACGCTGCAGGAGGAGAACGCGGCGCTACGCCAGCGCTTGGCGCGCAGGAGGCGGCAGGTCGTGCCGCGCGAGTCGTCCTCGTCGTCCACCGACAGCGACTCGGAGTCCGACTCGACCAACTCCTCGAGCGACTGCTCGGAGTCCGACTGCGACACCTGCGCCGCCCGCAGGAGTCGCTCTGAACGCGAAGAGGAGAAAGAGAACACACGGCCCGCAGTCATCTCGCCGCCCACCACGCCCTAACGCCCACGACCGCACGCAGAAGGCCGCCCGCCACGCCCCTCAGGACGCCCGCGACTGGAGGGAAAGACAGCTGACGCCGCCCACTCGCTGCCCGCCGCTCTGCTAAAGAGCCCAGCGGTCAAGGACGTGCGTGCGTGTGTGCGCCCGTCGCCCGCAGAGAACCCTCCCCCACGACACAAGCCAGTACAGGAATACCCCGCCACACACACGCGCGTGCACGTCTATTCTACGCCCACAGGCGCGTCCACAGGCACGCCCGTGGACCACCGTGTACCCAGTGACCCGACCGCACCGCACACCGCCAGGCGCCCGCCCGCAGGTGCTGGGAAGGGCGTCGCCCCCAGTCACATCGAGGAGGGCGTCCTTGACGATGGGCGTGTGACGAACCTCATCATCCAAATCCCGTGATCTACATGTCACACATAAACAGATATGTTAAAGAACTTTCGAAGTGGATACAAAAAAAGAAAAGAGAAGAGAAAAGTAAAAATGACAAAAACTCGCTTCTCTTTCAGTCAAGCGAGACGTGAAAATCTACGGAAAGAAAACTCTAGGTGTTTTTACGGGTTAAATGGACAGGAACGTAAACATCTGTGTGGTTTAATAACAGCGAGAGAAGGATTTTTTAAATTGAAAAGTGAGTGAACTAGTGTTTGAACAGACGCCACGAAAATATCAATCTATATATTTTTTTTCTTTTCTTTTCGTTTGAAGAGATAGGAGTAATGTATGTGTGCGTGTGTATGTGCGTTTATGTGTGTATATATTATACACACTTAAAGAATTCGCCAGTGTAAGTCACTTATAATGAAGAAGTAAATAAAACAGAAAATGCCCATTTACGATGCAAATGTTTTTGTTTCATATATATTTTTGTCCATGTACCAGATCCAAGTTCAGACAGACAAAAGCAAAAACAAACTCTAAGTCCGGAATCTTTCACGGTCAAAGTGAACAAATAAAAAACAAGTAAAGAGAAAGAATGCAATTGTACCTTTTTGCTCAAGTTTGGTCAAGAGGTTAACCTGTGCTCTGATTTTAAGACATTTTATTTTGATATTTGTGTATATATGTCCCGTTATTATCATCAATTTCTCTCTCTCTCTCTCTCTCTCTCTCTCTCTCTCTCTCTCTCTCTCTCTCTCTCTCTCTCTCTCTCTCTCTCTCTCTCTCTCTCTCTCTCTCTCTCTCTCTCTCTCTCTCTTTGTCCTGTCATTCGAACAAGTGTAAGATGTCTGTAAGGCACTTTGGGTTCGTGTTCGAGTCACGTTATTTATTTAGCTATAGAAAGATAGTTTCTCTATATATTTTTGTTTTTTCTTTCCGTTTTACAGTATTGTGAAAAAGGAACGTATTTGTTGCAGCGTTTTAGAGTGCAGAGGGGGGGAAGGGGGTGAGCAAGATGAATATATATGCAAGATGCGTTTTTTAATTTATGTTTACCAAGACTCTCTCCTCTTTCTCCTCTTGGCTCCTCCTACTGTTAATTACTTGGGACGTTATAGGCCTATAAATAGCTGAGGTTAGGTTTCTATTCTCTTTTTTGTTTTTTGTTTTTCGTTCCTTTTTTTCTCGTTTCTTCTTTCTCCTTTTCTTCTTCGCTCATTCCCTACTTTTGTTTCGTTTTTCTCCTCTTTTTATTTTTCC